CAGCGCAGCCCAGGGCCGAGCCTGCTCCTTCCACACGCACCATGGCTCCGAGCAGCTTCAGATACTGGTCGTTCATCTGCACGTACAGGCGCTTGTAGCCACGGTTTACATCAAAGCTGTGGAGGAAGAGGCCATGTCACACAGGCTGATCGCACTCCCAGCTAGTCCATCCCAGCCCAGAGCCTGCTCACCTGCACACTTGCCACTCTGGAGCATCGGGAGAGATGTGAAGAGCCTTCCTCACCTCTGGGGAATTCAGATACATACTAGGGGCTGTGGAGTTGGTGCAGGGCGGGTCCATGCGGACCTTCTTCCGGGCAACCAGCATCCGGAACAGGTTCTGGGAGAGAATCAGGAGACTCTCTGCAGCAGCCAGCACCTCTGTTGTCCTACCCCACTGGGGCAGCCACTCTCTGCTCCCCTCCTGCTCACAGACATCAGCACAAGCCAGGCAGAGCAGGACACTTGTAGCCAGGTGATGCAGGAGTCCAGGCTCACCTGCTGCCAGGAGAACCTCACTGGCATTCGGATGAAGGAGTTGCCAAGGTCATGAGTGATGAGATAGTCACCTTCATACCTGCAGCCAGAACAAGCACATGAGATGGGCTGAAAGCTCTGGAGGGACAAGGGCTCATGGAAACAGCCCAGGGCCCTTGCTGGAGAAGACAGTGTCCCGATGGCAGTCGCATAAGGTCTGCCTCACCCAGAGGTACCTCCTGCCTAGTCACCAGGTCCTTCTGCCAGCTGAGACCCCACATGCTGCAAACCAGTGCAGCTGGCAAACTGACCCCCTTGGAGCTGCTCTCACCTTAGGTTTCCAGGGACACCACCAGCACATGGGGCATAGAGGTTGTAGATGTTGAGGCCAGACTCCTCCACAATCTGAATCGTTTCCTCCATCTGCAACAAACCGCAAGAAGGGTTTGGGACTCAGCAGGATGCCTGAGGAACCGTGTCACCCATCCAGAGCCAGGTGGGGTGGATGCTGCTCACAGACACCTGAGCTGGGTGTGCACTAGTAGACTCCCGACTCTCCTCACCTTGAGCGTACAGTTCAGATTGGAGTTGTCATGAAAATTGCACTTCCCTTGGGAGCAGCAAAAGGTCTGCAAGTCCTTCCACAGCCTGTGGACAGAGAGCAGCAGGACATTGAGAGTGCAGTGCCCAGATGGTAACATCAACACAAAGCCATCTGCCACGGCCGCAGCCACTCTGCAGGCTTCCCGCCCAGCAGTTGCACCGCACATGGCTCAGCCAGGTGCCCGGGGCACTGGCAAAAAACCAGGGATAAACGCACCCATCAGAGCTGCCTGGGACAGGGACCATCCCCACAGCCTGGGGGTTGGCCCAAGTCAGGCCAGGAGGTTCCTCAAAAGGCTGGTCTGTCCTGCCCTGCTCTGGGGCCATGCCGCCATCCAGCACTGTGTCCCCCCATCCTGCTCACACAGGGACAGCACCATCTAGCAGCAGCATGCCCCCTCCCATCCAAGCCAGGCTCACACAGCTCTTACTGGGTTCCCAGCAGGCCGTGGTAATAGGCGAAGTAAACCAGGGAGTTGTCGTTAATCTCGTAGGAGGAGAGGCCGTTTCCCACAGCGATTCCCTGCAAGGCAACGAGAAAACAACTCTGTTATGTTCGCCGCTCCCCACAGGGCAGCCACAGAGGCAACGGCTTCAGGCAGGAAGCAGATGTGACACTGTTTACTCCACGGGAGGGAACAGGAAAGGACATAGGTGCCTGTGAACTCTCCTACTGGTCCCACACAGCAGGAACACATCCACCAGCAGCTGCTGCCAACACCACAGGCGAAGATGAAAGGCCACGGGGCCAGACCTGCCCCGTGCCCAGGAGAGGGCCCAGCACACCAGCTGCCAGTGCAGCCTGGCCTTGTCCCAGCACTGGCCTCAGTACAGCTCACAGAGAGCCAGTTTGCAAGGTGGTGCCAAGCCCTCTGCCCCCAGCCCAGGCCAGGCAGGCAGCAGAGCTGAGCTGCTCACCTTCAGGTTGAGGCTGGGGTCTTGCATCACCCACTCTGCCAACGTGGGGATGTAGATCCCCCCGTAGCTCTCCCCCGTGAGGAAGAGTTCATTCTTCGAGTACTCAGGGAAGAGACGAAGAAACTCTTTCAGTGCCAAGTAATTGTTGTGAGCAACCTGCAGGCAAAAGGAGACATGGGTCAGACAGCATGGCAGGACCCCTCCACGTCTCCACAGGAGCGGGGCAGGCAAGGGACAGGTCACTCCCAGCAGCCTGGGTCCCTCACCTCAGTGTCATTTGTGGCGTACTTCTTGTCATCAGAGTAGGAGAAGCCAACTCCGGCGGGGGACTCCAGGTAGAGCATGTTGGCAATCTGCAGGGAGAGCAAAAGAGCTGGAGGACAAGGGAGACCCTGCTTCCAGGACTGTCATAAGAGCCATTGAGCACAGGGCTGCTCGCTATCATCTACAGCAGCGCCAGTAGGAGCCTGGCCCTGCCCTAGCTCTGCTCTGGACAGCCATGTTCCCACCCCAGTCACTAGCAAGACCTGAGAGGACAGTGGGTCAGGCAGACAAGCTTGCAGGAGGCTCCGTTCCCTCAAAAGGGCAGGAGGAACTGGCCCAGGGCCACCCTCTCTCCCAACAGCCTGCGGAGGGACCCACTAGTCGCTCACACAAGCTGGGCAGGAAGAGCTGCTCCTGGCCAGAACTTGTGCCCCTACCTTGTTCCAGGCGTAGTCGTTATACTTCAGAGTGACCCCATCCGGCTGGACCTGGGGAGGGAGAAGACAGTGATTGACGGGCAGCAGGCACAAGCCAGTCGAACCCCGGCAGGACAGCCCGCACTGTGGAGCCCGCCAGCCCTCGGCAGCCCTCCGCCCCAGACCACAGGCCAGGGACTGCTTACCAGGAAGGGGCCATGCTCTTTCAGGAAACCCTCCATGGAGCTGCAGCCAGGGCCCCCGTTCAGCCACAGCACCAGAGGGCTGCTCTGCGGGTTGCTCTGGGCTTCCACAAACCTGCGTGGGATCAGGACCATGAGCATCCAGCGCCCTGCTGGGCCCCTGCCCCAGTCCGGGTCAGGGCAGTGCCCAGGGCACAGCCCTGTGCTCCAGTACAGTACTGGGGTACCAGCACAGCACCAGTCGCAAGGCAGCCCCACGTACCAGTAGTGCAGGCGCTTGGTCGGCCCGACGCAGAGGTAGCCAGAGAAGTGCCGGAAGGAGGGCTGTTTGGGGAGCCCCGGCAGGTAGGTGACCTCGTGGCCAGACGGAGCAGCCTGGCTCAGCCCCAGCAGCAGTGCGCACAGCAGCACCGGCCCCATCTGCAGAGGGATGGACGGACGGATGGACGAGAGCTCAGCGACGCTGGGCCGACCCGACGGGCCCGCAGCCCGGCCTGCTCCGGCCCCGCCAAACCCCTGACCCGAAACCACTGCAGCCCTGAGCTGCCCCTGGCCCGGGCCCGCCCCCCCACG